AGCGTAAGTGGGGAGGGAGTACATGAAGGAAGTACACGCGTATGGAAGCAAGTTGAAGGTGCTAAATGGCGTAGAGTAGTGACAGAAACGGTCGTATATTATAGGCGAGTGGATAATAAGGATAGTCACGCGGTTGATGCATTAGGCTTCTACACATGTATGAGGAGGTACTTGTCCACCACAGTTATGCAGCACTCAGCCAGCACAGCAATCGTATTGTCACTTATGATGGCTACGAGTTAACCGCCTACTATTGCTTCGTCACTAGTCCTTCGGTACTCAAGATATTTACTACGGCACTAAATCAGGCGTTAATCCCCCCTCTTACACACTACGGCATTAGGATGGATGACTTTGGAAGAATATGATGAAGGTTCCACAACTTACCGCTTGTTCACAAGCATTTGATCAGCAACTCAGTTAACAGTACCGTTGCCTGTAGCAGTGCACTCCTTCCATCCATCCCATCAACATGTGCAGCCAAGTTTGCCTTGAGATGTGCAAGCTGATTGCACAATTTGCGTCCCGTGCAGATTCAGGTTAGTAGAAGAGAAGCAATGAGAGATGGGTAGTGGTACACTATACGTCACAGTTAATGGTTCACAAGGATGCCTCTATGATTAGTACTCCCAACAACTCCATGGCTAGTGGGACTTAACTGTCCCAGTAAATGTCAATGCACTTCGCACTGTACTATATCGTGCCTAAGGGTTTAATATCAATGCCATCTCAGCTAGATGCAAAAAATGTGTTTTGCCTCACTGGCTGATGCACGTCACTTTCGTTTTCTGCTAGCATGCATGTCACCTTCAAATGGAAAGGGTGTGGCAACTGCGAAGGTGCAGCGGCTGCATGAGCAAGCAATCTATGCTAACTGTTATTTGAACAGGCATATAGGGCTGCACTTGACAACCAGGCGATCTTTGGAGTCTACGCATCCCCCCTATCTAAGCTGCGCACAAATTAGGAGGTTGCGTAAAGTCAGCAACAAAAGAGGCAGAAAACTGGCTGTGAAAAAAACCGACATTCACTAATCAATAGTTGGAGGCACACGAGGTGAGCTCAAATGTACTGTCGCAAAATGTGCAGGTTTGAGATCGGTTTTCGTGCCCTCCATGCGAGCAGTGAATTTCAAAGCGCTGTCAAAGCAAAGTGTAGTACATAACACGTTGGCTAGCGCAAATTCACCCCTTGCTATAAAACATGAGGTGTGTTTCTTGTGGCGCTTCTTTCACAAGCCTATTTTACACGCTACAGACACGTGAAACGTCGTCTGCATCACTTGACTGAGAGGCACCCGTCGATGCATCTGGATCGGAAGGCATTATAACACACACATCACGGGACGAGTAGACAGACAGTCCTAAAGCTATTTAAGCAGCTGTGCTTCAGGACACAATTCAGTTGTAGGCAAGGCAAAGAGACAGTCGAAGAGATGGAGTGCGGTGGTTGGCCATGCTCATACCCGTGGAAGTGGTCTCCGTGGTTTGAGGTTGCGAAGGGCTCGCAATGGGGACAGAAGTCGGTGTGATGGTCTGTGCAGAAGCCCCAATGCTGGACTCCATACGCGTGGTCGTGGCAACAACCGTGGGGTTGTTCGCAACAGTGGTGGTAAACGGCTGCCGCCACCACCACTGAGGCTGTGCTTGCACCGCCACCTGCGAAGAAGACTGTAGCGACTGTAGACGAGGAAGCAATTTGATGACTGCGAACATGCTCATCTCTACTTTGAACACGTAGCAAATGCTC